TTTGAACTGCTACGCTGCTTCTGAAACAACGATTAGTGACCACAAAAGTAACATATTGTAATATTGTCAATTCAACATAAGCAAAAATCTTCATACAGGGTAAATATTCATTTGTGTTGGTACCAATTAATGCGTGACCAGCTTCTGATATGAATGGGATAGGGGAAAACATAACGTAAAACCTGGGCTTCCGGCAAAAAGTAATACCCAAGCGTAATATAATAACCGAAACAGTTTACTGGTCTTATAAAATCAGAAATAAACAAGGTAAGAGTTTTTACAAATTGTAGTGATTTATGCCTCGATATGCCAGTGGCGACAAGTAGGAACACTATGTGTATTTCATAGTCGCAAGCAAGTAAATTTTGCCGGACTTTGAGTTCGTCTCACGGTAGAACAACACAAATACACAAGGAAATTTTTACGGTAACTTTATAACCATCCTTTTGCCCTTTAAAAGCTAGAAGCTCAGTAGATTCTGTCATATCGGTCATTGTTAAAACTGTCTTTATTTTGATGCTACTTTTCGACATAGAAAAAGTATGTAGGACAAAAATATTCACCATCCTTTTCCAGCTTCAATAATGTCAGGGAATTATGATAAAACAAAGGATTATGCTGTCAGAAATACCAGAGGTCAAGTAAATTCGTTACATGAGGTCACACAACTCGGGTAATATTCAGGATGAAAATTTGCATATTTGAGCGGTCGAACGAAAAATTTCATTTCTTAAAAACTAAAATATATTTTCACAAAAAAACTACACCAAAATTATTAGGACATGTTGGGCTACAATGCATGAAAGTTAGAGAGAAAACGAATTTGGGCGACTTGCCGCTGTTTGTCTGATACATGTTAACATTAGCTCTTAAATTTTGTTTTAATTCAAGTGTGACAAGATAAAACAGGAATGTTGCAGAGTTCTCTTTACATGTCATATGCTACTCCTGAATCTTCGATTTTATTGCCCTGGTCTTTTTCACAAAGCCTCTTTTAGATCTCTGTGTGCCAGCCAATGACCAAATCCAACCAAAATCTCAGTGAATAGATATGCCATCTTTTAGCAGTCTTTTTAAATTTCATCTTTAAGCTTTTTGCATTTACTATTTTACAATTCTCAAATGGCATTCTCTTTTCATCCATGTAAAGCGATATTACGCATTTCTTAAACTAAAATCTGAATCATGAAGTCAACTTAATTTCAATGAGTTTGAAATTTCATTGTACTTAAGAACACTTTACTAGAGTATGTTACATTTATTTGCTGTCTTTCTGGTACATGTGATTACATAACCCTTTAACTTTCAAGATTTCATTAGTAATTCTCTTTACTGTCTGTCATACAATTTATGTGATGTTAGGTTGGAGAATTTGGAATTGGATCAACCAATTATCCCCTAATTGATATTTTTCTTTATTCTCATCACTTGTCTGCTTGATATTGTACTGATAGTGTAAGGAGGAATTCTGTGTAGGTCACTAGTGAGACTCATACAGTTAAAATGGGGGCTTTCATTACATTGTAATGATTAGATTTTCTCATGCTTTCAAATGTAACAAAAAAACGTGATGAGAATCTGATGTTATGAAACAATGGAGAAACATATTGCTGGTAGCTTATGTCTTTAACGTTTAAATGTTCATGGAAAATGCTTTTCTTCCAAAGTGAGGATACAGAAGTTTTCAAAGCTGATAGAAATAAGCTGTTTACAACTAATGAAAAGCAAACTGGCAATCATTTAACCTCGATGCTTGACATGCTTCACTGAAACATGTCAGTTGTGCGTACCTACCATTGTAGAGATGCCTTTCATGAAAAATATTTTTCGGTGTTGCTGTTGTTGGTAAAGGCACTGAACTTCAATTTCTATGTACACAAGGCACCCCCCAAGGTGGAAGAGTAGAAGACCATAGACTGTTTACCAGGCAGTTGCACTAACCACAATTATATATTCAAGCAATACTCTACACATATAACAGGTAATTTAGTGTTAACAACTGGGTTGAAAACGTAAATTAGCCACCGTAAAGGGTAAAAAAGCTGACGTTTCGAGCGTTAGCCCTTCGTCAATCCCTGACGAAGGGGTAACGCTCGAAACGTCAGCTTTTTTACCCTTTACGGTGGCTAATTTACGTTTTCAACCCAGTTGTTAACACTAAATTACTTGCTATACTCTCCCACCGACGCAGCACCACAGTTTCTTTAGAAACTTACCCCTTTCTACACATATAAAACTGATTACATGATGTCTGAACCCTTTATACCCTAACATCAGTATATGCATATTCTCCATACTGTTCTCTATACACTCCCTGGTGTGCTGGCAAGGAGAATTTGTTTAACAATCAAGAGGTTCTTTGGTTGATTATCATTTCCTTTATTCCCATGACCTTAATGCTTGATTTAGGGATGATATTGGCGAAGTAGAAATTAGATACTAGTCACTCTTAGGAATTAGAGTGTTAATAACTGTACACTTTTTATATGCTCCTTGCATTTGTTGGCAACGATAGTTAAGATTGGTAGGAAAGCAAACAGATGAAGAGAAGACAGTGAAAAGAGGGAAACTGTAAACTTTACCCTATGGTAGAAACTTATTGTGCTAACCAATTTCCTCAATTACCTTTCATGTTTTTGATCATATAAAATTTAATCAGTTTTAGGGTTTGCTTACAATGTGTCAAATCACTAGCGTGGACTTGATTCTTCTCAGATATCAGCTGGTAAAAGATAGATACTAAAGATAGATGACCATAAGAAAAAAGTTCACATCTCAAAAAAATCAAACTGAAGTGGTGGCATGATTGATTTGTGATATTTAGAATGACAGAACCAGGAAAAACACATTGAGCTTTTTCCTATTCACTAGTAAGTTTATTAGATTTTATCAATATCATGCTTCATTATGGTTTGTTTACGTGGAAAGGTAATTGTTATTGTAGCTTCACAGATGTTTTCATTGCTGTTGCAACTAACATTCGTAACAAAGTTTCATTTAACATAAAATATTATAAGAACTTTCTCGGTTTCTCTCCAATACTATTTACTATTTTTGGAGCACTATAAACCCTTCACACCCTGACATCAATATGAATATTCTCCATACTGTTCTCAACAAATTTCCTCATGTTCTGGCAGGGAGAATTTATTTAACAATCAAGAGGCTCTTCTGTTCATTATTATTGCCTTTATTCTCATAACCTTAATGTTTGATTCAGGGGTGATACTGAAGGGGGAAATTAGATGCTAGTCACTATCAGGGATTAAAGGGCTAAAGGAAGCAGGTTATTAAAAAAATTATAACTTTGGTTCAAGGAAGTATATGATTATGTGAGTAACATTTGATGTTTTCATATGTAACAGGATCACGTTGAAGATGGCCTCAAAAAGGAGTGAACTTGACTGTAACAATTAGGTCATTACTATTGAAACTTGAGCATTTGGTAAATACCAAGCAGGAACCATCCACATGACCTGTACAATCATAAGCTATGAGAAAACTTTAGAAAAATGCATTTGTGTCAGTAGAACTATTGTAAGTACATTACCACCTAGTGACAAAAATTAATGATTTCCTGTAAGTATAAATGTTTGGGAGAGGTTCTAGTGGTAACTGACCCTTTTTTGTTAAAATATATAGGATTTGATGATTGTAATGTATATCTCTTAGCTTTTAAACTATCAACTTTGTATTAATTGTAACTGTTAACCATATTTATTTATTTCTACCTTTACCTTCAATTACCTGACTTTCTTTGTTTGGAATTGTGTGATTATATAATTTTGCTGTGTAAGTTGCCACATTGTAACATGTAATTTTATTATTTAAATTGCATCAAACACTCTTGCTCAAGCTTTCACTAATGCACATGGTGTTTCCTACCAATACTCATACCCAAACTAAACATTGATATAAGGAATTGGTCACAAGGTATGTGAGTTTTAAAGGGTGGGAAACTGGAAAAGCAATGATCCCCCTTTTAATTTAAATAGAAACTTGAAATTTATATCTCTTCCTTTTGAGATGTACGGGAAACAGAGGCGGTTGAATCGTTAGGGAAAAAATTATGGCGCAAGTAGTCATACCTGGCAACTTCAAGAGAAGATATAAGAGAAGCCCATACGATTATGGCGTCTTGATTTACTAATTCACTGGTATCACGTCTATACTCTTCATTCGACTGTTGATGTCCAAACTCGAAGTAGTTTACAGTCGTTTCTTTCAATTTTAGCTCATTTTCCTAAACCAAAATTATCATTCGTGCTCAAAAGTATGTAACTTCAACTGATGCTGACATCGCACACTTCCCCTGAAGAAGAAAAGATTCTCTATCTTCGAAAATTTGCTCAAAACATCATAAACTGCAACGAAGTCCTTAGCTGCTTGAAGATACCGCTGACTAGCATGCGTTTTACCACAAGTTCTGAGAATTCCAGACCTCGCCAATTCTTCCCTTCCCTCCCCATCCCCCCATCTCTTAATTTCCTTGAAGAAACTCTTCTACAGTCAGTGCTGAAGAGTTTTATCACAGTTCTTATTGTAACGAGGGGCTAGAAAATAAACTAACCAGGGCTCCGCTTTTAGGCTTGACTAAATCTATATATTAATACGTATTTCTCCGTTTGTCTGGATCTTGTAGCTGGTTGGACAATAATAAGCTGACATCTGTACCAGATTTGACAGGTCCTAAGACTTTAAGTTCCTTGTAAGTAACTACAAGAGATTAAAATTTCTTGGTAACTGTTATCTTTTGATATAGCAGTCATTTTATTGTCATGCATGGGAAGTAATCTTATCCCAGAATGTAGATAATATCTTTCACGGGTGAGCTATAAAATAATTTTAAATGTACAGACAGGTGTTAAGAAATAAAAGAAATATTTATCATTCGAATAATAACCTTGTATTAATCCAGTTAGTATGACAAATGAACGTCATCGTCATTAGAACGGGGGACTGTCAAATTTAATTGCTCTTAACTCTTTTTTTTTCTTCTCAGAAACCTACAAGAGAATCAGATCACAGATTTATCAAGCATTGCCACTTCTGGAATTGGACACGTTTATAACCTGTAGGCGTTTGTTCCCTATTGAACTGAATGTTTCATTTTTTGTTTGTTTGGTTGTCTGGTTTTTTTTAAATGGGTGGAGGGGGTACTTACAGAGAAACCGGTTTACCTTTTCTTTGGATGCCTATATTCAAGTGTGCACCAGCTCTACTAACGTTTGAAAATGCTGTTTTAATCTTGTAGATTGTTGTCTAACAATAGTATCGATCACCTTCCACCGAACATATTTCACAATACTCTCGTAATAGGGAACCTGTGAGTAACCAAAACTACAAACAGAGTGGAGTGTTCGTTCTGTGGCTGTCTTTTGATAGTATTACATATAAAAGAAGTCACTCTTACTGTGTATCCATATTTTCCATATCGTGATTTCCTCTATTACAAAGGAAAGACGTGAAAATGCAACTGTCCCTTCAATTTTCGCTAAGATCTACTTTTTTAAAAAGACTTAGAAAATAAGGAGAAATTTCCAGATAACTTTAACTGAGGATGAATCTACCTGTAGCACCTTTTTTGATCCGACCGTTGTTATGTCTCCCATTGGATTTTTCAAGAGATATTAAAGAGTTCATAATCGATTGCTTTTTTTTTTCGCTTATGTTTTATTTTCGATAACTTTATTTTTCTCATTTCTCCATAGTGATTTGTCATTCAATAAATTGAACTCATTACCAGATGGAATATTTAATGAGCTCGATCAATTAAACATTCTGTAAGTAGATCGGGAAAACCTTGTAGCAAATGAACTTTACATTTAATAATACATGATCGGGTCGAGATTGCCTCCTTCTCTTAAAACGTTGTTTCACAACTGATGGTTATGTAACTCAGTGAGGACCGAATTTCATAACCTTCTGATCTTATGATGCAGTCCTTGTTATTTGCAACCAAAATGTTTGAAATCATTTGAATTCTTTTCTTTCAAAGGTCGACCACCAGTGATATCATATCATTTTAGCTAAGCAACCCATTGTTATCAATTTTTAATTTTCAAGGGATGCTAGTTACCTTAAAATGAAAACTTTGAATTAGGACATCATAAAGAGTTTTCCTGGAGGTTTATTTCCATTGGTTCAAACCATGACCCGATCCTACCTTATGTTCATTATCCAAGTAGAATAATTACTCAGAAAATGACATCATTTTATGAATTTAGGTCTTTCAGTGTTTTTGACCGATAGCAATTTAATATATGAAGCAGTACTTTCAGTGAGTTTACTTTCAGCACAGAAAAGCACAGAATTGAATTATTTTCGTCCGCAAAGGTGTTAGTGACCGATCTAGCAGCTTATGTTTACATAAGATAATTTAATTTACTCAATCAGCCAAAACTTGATTTGCTCCCACGGTTCTCGTTTTACTTCAGATCGTAAGTAATCGAAGCGACTCAAACTGTTGGGTTTGTGTATGACCTTCCCATTTTGCGCTGCAGTACGTGAAAAACATCAAAAGGCTCTTCGCTTTAACAAGACTGTGCATGCTAGTTGATCGGTGGGTTGGGAAATATACTGCAACCGGGCATGCTATGCAATCAATTTTTGTCAAAAATAATTTTTCCTGAAACTCTTTGTTTTTTTTTTTTTGAAATAATTTTCTGACTGCATTTTTTTTTTTTAGAGACCGTCGCAACGTTTTTGCATATTTTGTAACATTTTTGTTTTTGAATTTTTTGCTTAAAAACCTTTTTTTTGAATTTTCCCTCTCAATTTTTTTTTTTTTTGATTTTTAAGTTTTGATTTTTTTTTTTGGATCGGTGGGTTGAAATGGAATTTCTAATCCCATTAACTGCTCTGCAACCGGGCATGGTCTTAAGAGGATATGCTAAAATACTAAAAGGTTCTTTCAAACTTTTAACGAATATAAGATGTTTGTTTTTAAAAATGTCAAGCGATTCCAAAAATTAATTTGGTTTTCAGTGGACGCACTCTCCGTGCTTGGTTGTCGACACTTTCGAATTGCATACCTCTGATCAGACCGCCGGGCACCGAAAGGTTCCTGGAAACGTCCTAAGAGTAGAAGCTTTTTGTTAGAAAAGGTCAAGCGGTTCCAAAAATTAATTTGTTTTTCAGTGGACAAATCTCCCCAATCTCTCCGCAATACATTTTCTAAGTTGTGTGACTCACACACATATTGATTTTTCCCTGTTTTTAGGGTGCTAACCTTCAACAACATCACTCACATTAACAGACGCACATTCAGTGGACTTTCCAGCTTGACCACACTGTAAGTGTCCTCTATGTAAAGTGGGTAAGTTTCTGAAGAAACTGTAGTGCTGCTTCGGTGGGAGAGTAGAGCAGATAATTCAGTGTTAACAACTGAGTTGAAAGCGTAAATTAGCCACCAAAAAGGTTAGAAATTTTCAAAATTCAGGATGCCAATTTTAAACTTTTTAAACATTTGCACGAAATTAAAGCCCAAAAACTCGACCAACTTATCGGTCCTCAAATTACTAGCGACTCATCGCTTGAAAACCTCAAAACTGTAGTTTACAATTCCCGAAAATTTACTACTTTCCGACTCAGAAAAATCAGTTCTCAGTAAGGGCTCAAATTTTGTTCTCATTTCCAAAAAAAATCGACGAATCTTAAGTTAAGCAAGACGTTGAAAAATCCCTTCCCCGCGTTCAGTTGAAAGCCTTTTTTCATGACAAAGAGGATGATTCTAACATCTCGAACAAACATACTTTCGTAACACTTCAGATTCCAAAATGTCGTCACGCTATCAACAAACTTAAATTCAATCGTAACACCAAATTTACCAATCTTTCTTCGGAAGAGTGGTCGGCACTAAAAAGTCTAAAAAACGCAAAGATATAGTCATTAAAGCGGCCGACAAAGGCGGCGCAGCTGTTGTTTGACGGGCTGACCTCTACCAAAAAGAAGCTTTGCGGCAACTTTCTGAAACCTCCTTTTATGCTTAAGTCGACAAAGATCTCACTGATTAACCAAAACATCGTCAACAATACGATTAACGATCTTTAGCTAAACAAGAATTGCCTGCCATTTCCAAAAATCTCGCCATCATTACTCCCAGAACTTCGCGTATTTACTTACCTACCTATTTACTTACCTAAAATCCACAAACCTAACAATCCAGGTCGACCTATCTTTTCTGCCTGCAGTTGTCCCACCGAAATTATTTCCAGCTATTTAGACAAAATTATGGCAACTATCGTCAAAACTTTACCATTTTACATTAAGAACAGCCGACACGCGCAATTAAAATTTTTCGTGACTTTAGTTTCCTCGGCCAAACAAAGTTATTTTCACTATGTATATAATATCTCTTTATACTGTCATTCCCAATGACGAAGGTCTCCGGGCCCTCCAACGTTTTTTCGATCACCGCACTGTTAAGGAACCTAGCTCCGAATAACTACTCCGTTTGGCCGAACTAGTACTCACACTTAATCGCTTTTCATTCGGTGGCAACTACTACAAACAAACTAATGGCGTTGTCATGGGTACTCAAATGGGGCCCAGCTACGCCAACCTTTTCGTAGGTTTTATCAAACGTCGATTTTTTAGTCAATACCACATCCATCACACGTCAAGAACTCCATACCTTTATCACAATTTCTCAGACTTCGTCGTTTATGTAGCGACTCTGATTTTTTCGAAAAAACAGAGGCAGTGTGCCAGTTTTTCGATAAACGTGGCTATTCTGTTTCTGTCGTTCAAGCGGGGCACCACCGGGCCCAACAAATTGATCGACAGTCAGCACTACAAACGGCTGAGAAGGAACACACTGACCGAATTCCATTCACTCTTACATTTCACCCTCACAACCTCCCGGTTACATCTATCATTCTTAAAAACTTTAAATTACCCCAAAATGACTCAGAGACTGGCACTATCTTTCCGCAACTTCTACTTATTTCATTCAAACGTGACAAAAACATAGGCAAATTTTTGGTCAGAAGTTCATTTCAAACTAATGACCAGTCTGGAACTTTCAAATGCGCTCGCTCACGATGCAAAACTTGTCCCTTCATTTATAACGTAGAGAAAATATCGGGACCCAAGAGATCCATTAAGATCACTGATCACTGTATTTGTACCTCCGCCAATGTCATTTACTGCATAACTTGCACTTATTGCAATGAGTTATATATTGGCGAAACAGGAAGACGACTAAGTGACCGATTCCGAGAACACCTTCGCGAAGTGGAAAGAAATGACAAGGACGCATCCAAACCAGTTGCCAGACACTTTAATCTCCCTAATCATTCAAAACAGCATATGGCAGTTTGCGGCCTCTCCTAACATCTAGGCAGTTCGGAAAGCCACAAAACACTAGAACAAAAATTTATGTTGCAAATTGGCACCCTTAATCCCCACGGAATCAACGAGCGTTTTTCATTCAACTAATTTATTCCTGTTTTCTCGTCGCCATATTTCCTCCAATAGCGTAGCTCCACCTTCTGCATATAAACCTACACACAAGCCACAATTCCTCCAATCGCTCTGACGAAGGGTTAACGCTCGAAACCTCAGCTTTTTTACCCTTTTCGGTGGCCAATTTACGTTTTCAACTCAGTTGTTAACACTAAATTACCTGCTGTCCTCTGTATACTTTTCTAAAAAGGCGTAAGTCAGGGCTTTGAATAACGTTCAAGTTTTCCACGAACATTTTAGTAGGTATAGTAGGTGTATAGTGGCGTAGTAGATTATGTGCTCGGAGAGGAGGGGGTCAGGGGGCATTGTCCTTCGGAGAAAAATTGAAATCCAGAGCTCAAAAATGTAATTTCCATCATTCTGGGCATTAAAAAGAGTACTTTTTGTCATAATTTCCATTGAAAACTTTGTAATTTACAAGCTATTCCTGACCAATCAGAATGCTTCGTTGTGGAGTGTTCGTGTTTAAAAGAAGCAAATTCGAAAATCAATGCCTCGCAGGGAGGCTCCCATTTCAAGACTACCCCTTCCTCTTCCCCCTGCCGGCTCGTTACTCACTCGTTTGAAAGCCCACGCGAAACCCAAACACAAGAGCCTGTCTACAAGCTAAACGGCGGTAAGAGGTCTGATGGGCAGCAATAGATCACCAGTTACTTGCTTTTACTAAAAGTAAGAGAACAGCAAACTATAGCAGTGCGTCCACTGTAGTGTAGGAAACAAAAGAGTCGCTGTGCTGCATGTAAAAGGGTTTTTAGTCATTAATATAAATGATAAAAAAACCTCTCAACCTCTAATAAGCTCGCAACTTAAAAAGCTTTACATTGAATTCAAACATTGTTTCATAGATTCAGGCACATCAAAATATTTCGTATATCCTCTTCATCAAAATTTCGGAAACGCAGTGTTGCCATAGCCTCGTAAAAACCGTAGGTTATATTAATATCACAAAAATGTATTGAACAAGATCCACATTTCCAGTGTCCACGGGCAATCTACCAGCGGAATTGTAGTCGTGGATTATAAATGTTGAATCATTTTGCTAATAAATAATTTTTTTCAATTTTAATTCATTTACCTATGTAACTATGATAGATGGCACATTTGTAACGTCATGTCCATTATCGTCTGCCATATAAGTCAGAAGTTTGCTATTCTTTCTATTTTACAGACTGCTGATCAAAAACAAACTTACATTTATTGCCAAAGACGTTTTTGATGAGACTCCCAGCCTGAAATCATTGTAAGAATAGACTTTGGTTCTGAGATTTCCGGTAATGCTGTATCATGTGCACAGTCAAGAGAGGATAAAGTGTTATCCGCTATTCTCTCTTGGTATTCTAGAGAAGCCTACTACCATATCTATTCTGTTAACACAATGATAATTTTTAAAAAAATACGTAATTGCTCGTATTTCGAAATCACTTGGAGGTGTTCCCACGTCCTGTTTTTATTTTAAAATATATTGTAAAAGATGATACATGTTTCTGTTTTTAAAATAAATAACAGTTGTCGTTGATAAGAGAATTTTTTTTCTCTCCTTCTTTCTTCCTTCTCTAAATCAAAATTTGTTATTTTTTTTTTAACTTTGATAGTTATTTGATTATCAGCGTAATATGGGAATAACCAGAACCAATTTCGAGGGTAAAGTATGCTGAGAACTATCAAAATGGCTTTGAAATTCCGTCAAATATTCATACCCTTATTCCGAATTCCAATTTGCAATGCATATACGACATCTTTATGATTGTTGCGCAAGTGGATAATTGCTTCAATCAAATAAATTTTTCCCGTAGGTTTCTTCACAGTAATGCAATTACAAACATTGAAAAGGAGACTTTTGACAGACTCGACCTGAGCCAGTTGTGAGTAAATTGAAGAATAGAATGATTTCCTTTGAAGCTAAAACTTGGAATGTGATACATTAACAAACTAAAATGTTTTATTGTTTTTTCTTAGCGGTTGTTAAGGTGTCAGTAGATGCCATACACATAATTAAAACTCCCACCCCCATATCAGGAGCTTTAGCATAACATATCTTGTTTAATGGGTATACACGCGCTTCATTTTCAGAACCATCTTTGATAATCCTTTAAACTCATTACCAGACGGAATATTCGACGGAATGGCAAATGGAACCCAAGTGTAAGTCAAGCCGTATGGCTTAAAGGCTATATACATATAAAGTGTAAAATTTTGACTTTCGTAAAACAGTGCTCAATACACAGGAGCAGAGCGATGTATATATTGTGGGAGGAAAAAGACAAATAAAGTACAAGTTCATCCCTACAAGCCTGTTTCGTGATTGCCCACTCATCAGGGGATTTAATCAGAGTAATCTTTACCATCGCCTATATACAATATAATCTAATTTATACAGCGCGAAATTAAACAATTTAGTTGTTGCGTGGGAGGGCTTTGTTTCTGTGGCGGCAGGAAGACACGAGTTCATTACGTTTCTTTAGTGTTAATAGTTCGGGTCGGCAGATGATTAGGAATTGTTCTCTGAGGCAGAAATTACATCTTTTACTTGAGCTGTTGTACGGCAACTACGAAACAGGCTTGTTTATTTGTCTTCTTCCTCCCACAAAATATATATATATATATATATATATATATATATATATATATATATATATATATATATATATATATATATATATATATATATATATATATATATATATATATATATATATATATATATATATATATATATATATATATATATATATATATATATATATATATATATATATATATACGTTACATTTGTCGAATTTGTGTTAATTTTTTTACGGCTTCACGTTCTTGGCTATATTGGTATACGTATAAAGTTTCTCGAACCGGTCTTTTGTTTTTTTTTATAACCTTAAATAGCTTTCATTATCCAGTAAAAAAAAGGGGGAGAGTGGGGGGGTAGGGTAGATAAAAGAAGATGGATTTTCTTCCAAACAAGTTGCTTAAAGACCCTTAAAGCTAAGGAAACCTGAGTATGCGGTGGCGACGATATCACCTGCCACAATTCTATTAACCAAAATCACGTCAGTATTTATACCCAAAAGTTTTATATTCAGTTTATTGTACAAATTATGTACAGGGCATTGACGTGTAAAAATCTTCGTCAGCTGCCTCTGGGGAAATATGTGTCTAAAATGTAAGTACGCCTTAAGTTTCATTTTCTTCTCTCGCTATAGAATGATAAACATCTGCACTGACGTTCTATTTTGACTACAATTCTGTCAACATTTTTCAATTAGCATTTCACAGATTTCTTCTTCCTTTCCATTTCAGAAGGTATGAAAATAACAAAAAAAAAAACTGTAATCAACTTTTAAAACAACTATTGATCTTGGTCATTTCAACTTGTCGAGACTTATCAGTGCCGTCGGCTTTGGCTATTGATCTCTTCACGGTAAAATCACGAGATTGTTTTCAACCTAGTTTTTTTATTCATTGTCATTGCCCAATCAATCCTCAGTGAGTGTGCTCCCACGACATCTCTGCACGTCATTTTGGACAACGACCAAAGTAGCTTCAGTTCATGCTTTACACGCTCAGGTTTTGTGTGCCATGACTGTACATCCCGCGAAAAACACAGTGCACCAATCTATTGTGCAAATTGCAGCCTATGTCCAGTTGGTACCTACTCGTGTACTGATGGATCCCGCTGTCTACCGTGTTCTGCAGGTAACGAGAAGAAACAATTACTTTATCGTTGATATAAGTATCGTAAAAAGACAAGTAATAAGGAATCACTTTATTTGTCTGGCTAGATCATTATATCTAGTCATTATTCTTTCCTTTATGTATTTTTTTAACTTTGGAGATGTCTTATGCAATTAAACGATGCTGGTATACTGTGTTATGGCTTACTCTACGGTATACTTCTTTTATCACGAGTGAATTGGAAACCAACAATAATTTTGATAATTCAATGTAATAGTTGATTCTCCTTTATATGCTCAGACAATCCACCCGTAGAACCGTATCCATGTTCTATGATATCTTCACAGGGGGTTTTTATCAGGATGAAATGGGACAAGATGATTGCAAAAGATGCAGCATTGGTACATTTGTTTCTGAACAGCGAAGTCCTGGAACTACAGCTGCCGACTGCGTGGCATGTCCATACGGTAACTTTTGTGTTTGCTTTGGCTGAACTGCAACTTTTTTCCAATTCAAATGCGCTTTTAAAGAATAATGCGAAGCGATTGATTCAACCTTTGGCAAGCTCCATCACCAATTTTAGTTCAATACACAAAACACATTCATCTAAAATGGATTATCCGGAGGATCCATCTTGAAATGCATAAGCCGAGAGTACTCGTTTGATTGTTTGTTTAGAGGGGAATCCAAACATGTCTTATTTGGAAGATAATAGTCATTCAATTCACAAGTGATATCATGTGCAAACGCAGAGAAAAGAGAAAATGCGTTCGTGGAAAAGCCCTTCTGTCAATGTTTTGTTGTTTCTATAGATAGGGTTCGACATTTTGCGAAGTGATTGCTTAAAAATGAACCATTCTTTTTCAGGTACGCTTTCTAACGAGACTGCCGAACATCGTGCATGCAGATGCCTACGCAACTTCTATCGGTTGGATCGCTTTGGCCCGTGCACAGCATGTCCGCCAATCGGTTTTGTTTGTGAGAAAGATACAGCAATACTTGCTCCTAACTACTTCTGGAAATGGTCCAATCAGTCCGAAAAAGAGCGTTTCAAAGGTTTTGTTAACAATATCCATTCTAATGGATCAGACTACAACAAGTCCTTTTCAATGTTCAATACTTCACTTCCGAAGCCACTCAAATGTCCCCATGCAAAGTCTTGCAAGGGTGGAATTGATTCAGATTGCCATCAAGGATATCAAGGGAATTTGTGTGCAACGTGCTCTGAGAGCTTCTATTTTCGCTTCAACTCTTGTTTGAAATGTCCCCGGTTAGCTGTAACAATATCTTCATCCATCCTGGTAATTGTTCTTTTTGTTGCTGTGTTTCTAATTGTTCTTTGGGGTGACTCCAAACGTGCAGACAATAACCGGACAGTTGCAGATGTCGTCATGTCGTGCTTTAAGATTGTGATTGGTTTTTACCAAGTCATTGCCGGTATTTTCTCGGCATTGGCTAAAGTTCAATGGCCAGTCGTTTTGATCTCAACGGAGAAGTTTCTAAAAGTGTTTGAAGGGAACATCTTGCAGTTTGCCCCTCTTAGTTGCATTCATACTTCTCTACGGCTTGACGAGCTTGGAAAGTTCACGATGATTGTTGTCATGAATGTCTCACTCATTGGCTTGATTTTCTTATATTTATTTCTTAAAAAACGCTACATCATGAAAAAGAAGGACCTTGGTGAAGACCGGAAAGTAACGGAAGTTAAGAGTTTGAAAAAATCTTGCTATCGGAACATTTTCCTATTATTGTTGACGACCTACCCCACGACGAGCAAATCGATAATTCAGATTCTACCTCTTCCCGGTGTATGTATAGAAACATGTTTCACAGACGACAAGAACGACTGTATCTCCCTACTGAGAGCTGACTACTCCATCAAGTGTTTCACTCCTCGCCACCGTTTGTTTTGGCTCATGGCTTCTATTTTGGCATTATATCCCGTGGGATTTCCACTTCTGGTTCTGTTTCTCACTTACAAATATCGTGAATCCCAGGAATACGAAGCCATTTCTTTCGGACTCAGAGTGTTCTTTGAAAACTACAAGAATGAATTTTGGTTCTGGGAAATCACAGAGATGTATCGCAAGCTCATTTTAACCTCATTGATTTTTCTTTTTGGATCAAAGAGCCTTTCTCAAATCGGTCTCACAGTTCTGACAGTCAGCGTCTTTGGAGTGGTCTACACCTTATTCCGACCAATCAAGGACAAGTTTGAAGATTGCTTACAAACATTTGTTCTTTGGATAATTTTCTTTGACGTTTGTCTTGGTGCAGTTTACACAAACTGGGATGAGAGTCAAGGAGAGGGCAAGAACGATTCCACCTTTGTAAATGTCGTGTTCGTGGTCCTTAACGCCTCTGTATTGTTGCTTGCCATTGGTAAGTCAAAATGCTGCTCTGTTTTATTCGATGTGCATTTTAGTCATTTGCGAAATAAATCAAGGAAAGGACCTTGATTTTGATGGATTGTGGTGGTTTTCTCAATCCCCAAGTTTTTTCGTTTTCCGCGCAATTATGATATAATTGTGATAAAATCATAAATTAGCCTTATTCAGGTTATTTAGGATATTTGACGCTCTATAACACTGGCTCATACAGTAGTAATCTTAAGGCAGATCGCGATGTTTGATCAATTCTTCTCGCAGGTTAATTCTTCCTGTAAGTGGAATTTTGAGACTTTGTAATCCTGACAGGTTTTTAGGATGTAGTTTACAAAATTATACCTATGGAAGCTGCCAAGGAGGGAGAATTTGAGTTATTTTCTTTATTAATCTCATGTAGTATTCCAACATTAGAGAGTATAAGTAGAATACAGAAAACTAAAAGATAGAGTTGCGATCTTAGGGAAAAATCCAAATCGTTTTGTGAACGAAATGTCAACACTCATTCTCAAAACGCTTCTTAGCAAGAGCGAAAATAAAGACAAATTTCAGAAAAAGGGACACCTTACCGTTTTTAACGCTTTCGAGTAAGATTTCAACTACATGTATAAATGATGAACTCCCTCTTTTTTTTCTACTTCATAGGAAACGGAATTCTACATGTGAAGTCAATTTGGCAGTACGTTACCTTCAACCCGATCCGATGTTTCAGCTTCCTTCGTCAGGGAGTATCACGTCTCAAGAATAGAGTGGTCACAAGAACGGGAACATCCGAGGAACTTTCACACTTGATTAAAGAAAGCAACTCAAGAACTTCCCCGAAATATTTGTCTTAGAACTTTTTGACTATGCCTCATGAATATCTTGCTCTAGGTGGCTTAAACGCCTAGAGCTTTCGTTGAAGTCTCTCTGGCTATTGTGAGACTTCTGGGTGACATTTCATTGTAACTAAAGGCACTAGCGACTCCCGCAAAGGCTGTGTTCTTCAAAATGTAATGCATAATGTTTTTGAACTCAGATTTAAAGTGCGACAAAAAACGTTGAAAATTATATCAAGGTTATTTTTGAGTAAAAAAATTTTTTTTGGTTAGTTAAGGAGTAGGATTCCTCGCACCTTCGAGCATATATGACTTTGAACCACTATATATATTTAAGCAATAAAGCACACTTTCTTTCAGTTTGCCTACGTAATGGCTACTGAACTAATATCTCTGTTTGGATTTTTTTTTTTTTTATATAAAGTCAAACCTTTATTCGTTTTTTATTTTGTTAGTTCTGAGATATTCAGCCTCATACCACGAGTCTCACACCACGAGTCTGTTCTTTTTTAAAACTGATTTTAAAAGATTCAATTTTGGATCAGTGTTTGGACAAAGAACTTCCATTTCTAAACGTTAAATACTTGTGCAAATCTCTCATTTCGATTTTTTTTTGTTCTTCTGGCGTGACTAAATTTGTTGATAGCTGCTAACGGTCTCTAGGTCTGGTTCAATCTTTTGCTTCAAAGAAGCTCATTCGGTGGCAGATTTTTAAGTTTGCAGATCCAGGCGTATTCTTTCTCTGTCTTTAAGTAACTGTGTCTGGTGAATATTTTCTGTCCATTCCCTCGTTGACTGATAAACCTAGTGGAGGGTAAATATTTTGCTCCTTTAACAACGAGCCAGATTTTTCCCCTATGTCTTTACATCGCCAGCTGTAAAGAAATGAGACTCGGGATGAATTGAGGAATGTCACAGTCTCGGCTAGAGGGTGCAACAGATAATAATACAATGCATCATTTTCAATCACGATATCAATCAGGGAGGTTGTCATGAGTAACGAATTACAAAGCACTCAAGCATCTCGCGTGTGTTCAACGTTTGCGGCTGTTGCGTCCAATTTATTTTTGGCTGTTGTTGTCGCCCGCGTGAATCTCCATGTTCACTTTATTTTGTGCGTGTGAATTTGTCATTCGTGACACCTTATTATCTTAGATATTTTGAAAGGTAATGCCATATCTAACACATGGCTAAATCCAATGAAACTGGAATTAATTGGAGAAAAAAATCGTCGTTCGTCGTTTTATACCTTCAATGCTCTGTAAGTAACATTAAAGATTAGAAAACGAGAGCACTGCAATAGAAAACCAGTTTGATTTTGCCAGCAATGTAAACAAAAAAAGCTGGTTGGACAACTAAACCGACCAAACTGTCGCTAAGAGCAACGAGAAAATACATATGTTAAAGACAGTTCGGAGAGCAGAGAATTTGGGAATAACTAACAGCAAGAGGCCATGTCCCCGGTATGGCTAAGACTACTAGCAGGGGATTGACAACGCAGATGGCGAGGACATAATGATGTAGTGTTGGTAATAGCTTGAAGCTGGCAGCTCTTGAGAGAGGGTTGAGTCTAGGCAAGGTGTTTTTGTTTTCATCGGTGGAGTTTATATGATATCGCGATGTATGCCACTGATGAAGTTATTTTGCTATCTACGCTGATATTGAAAACGTCAGCTATAATTAATTGCGGAATGGAGCTGCCATATTGTTTAACAGTATGTTTTATGCTCACAGTAAGCCTAAAAAGTTTTACAGTGACAACGATTTTATATTCGCGTCTATTGATGGAAAGGATAAATTGGCTCATATAGCTAAGATAAAGAAAACTTTGAAGTTAAACTTTATTCGAGATTTTGACCGAAAGGAAAGAAAACATGCATGAATACATGCACACACGATGGAAATTTAACAGCTCTTTTTGTTACCGAATTTATGTCCGGTCCCGTTCGAAGTCAAAGGTAAATGCATGCATCGAGATGTCGTAGTTCCTGATAGTTTACCTTTCATAGAATATTCCTTTTTTATCGATTTTTGTGCAAGTTTATACACACAACATGTGGATCGCTTCGGGCTTTTCCAAGTTACTCTTAACACATAAAGTAAGCAAACTAAGTCAGTTCTGGATGATTTCTGTCCTTATTTGAATTCCAAACAGTTGTTCTTGAGGGACAGTCGTGATCATACTTAAAATACAAAAGCAGTTAACAGGAATTTAGTCCAATGGTTAACGATCGGTGAACTAAAAGTGTTCTTATATTCTATTCACTGTAGTGCCACTTGCTTTCTTCCTTTTGTTCCAAGTTTTAAGACTGAAATTTCACCATTTAGAGCTTAAGAAAAGCACCTATTGATAATCAAACCAAGTCTAAGTGATAAGAGACAAGCAGAGAAAACACTATAGGTTATGGATACGCAGGAAAAGGAGAAGAAAGTGGAGAATAAAAGTTTTTTTCTGAAATGACTTATTATGAATAGGATTTCAAAAAAAGTTTAGTCTACAAGAGTTTGATCGCTCTCATTCCCATGGGGAACGGGCGGAATCAAAAGCGTTTTATGGGTCACACACTTTATGATAGGAATAAAATATTACCCCACTCAAGTGAATAGAGCGATTAAATTAGAGAATAGATCACAGCATGCACTTATCAAAAGTCTTAAATGTCGTGTATGGAAAGTTAAGCTCGGTAAAGAAATGTTACTTAGTTTTCCTTTTGACAAGGAATTGACTTTTTAACGGGTCGGCAATAATAACTTTGCAGCTGTCATTAACTGCACTGAGACATTGTGAAATGACGACATATAGTGAACGCCGAACTTCACTGGTACTATTCATATTTCATGGGGTTTTCCGGTGAATTGAAAATTCCACTTTCTCTCTTTTCCTTTCCAATCAGCACACACCACCGAGTCCTAAGTAAGCTATGCTATGTACCAAAGCAAATCACTGAAAAGTGAAGAGCCTTCCGCTTTTATTTTATCAGCAACAAAAAGCCCTATGAGACAAATATGGATGATGTTTTGTCACGAAAGGTTCCTTTTTTTTCTTTGAAACATAGGACACGGTGAACTTTAAAAGTATTATTTACTGAGCCGGAAAGAAAACAGCTGAGCGTCAGGTAAGCAAAAGCAAAGACAGGCAAGTAGATTTTTGGTTTTGAGATTTGCTTTTGTGCAATAAACTTTTCAGTTGAGAAATTTTTTTGGTCAATGGCTTGGTATTAGATACGCTATGCAATTCACCACAACAGATAACTGAATCACACAGATTAGTCCTCCCGTGTTTCTATTTACATCTGTGTTTGAACCGTCGGACTTTCAAGGGAGCATTATGTGTAGGGAGGGGTTCAAACCTTCCCGTATTCTTAGCTAGCTCTCTTGGATAATCAAATCTAAGTAATTTCTGCTACAGTTTACCATTTTTGTATGTTGTTTTGTTTGTTTTGACTGCCTAGTTTAGATTCCACGCTGTTTCATTCATGAGTTGATTCCCTCACCTCAAAAATTTAATCCATGAATTTACTCAAAATTACTGAGCAGAGTTATCTATAATGATTGTCGTTACATTTTGAAATTTTGTTTTACAATATCAGCGATTGCAAGAAGACTCTTTTAATGTCCTCCCTGCCTAAGCGAATTACTTTCCCTCATGCTTCTCGTCTTTCTCTTGAGTCTTTACTAATGCTCGTCTCCTAGAGTACCTTTCCAACAGCTTCACTACAGAGAAACATTACGCTCTTTTAATTAAAAAAGTTGAACTTTTCCCTTATAGCTTCAAGTCAATAACAGATTGAAGAATAGAATGAAAGAACAATGTGTCAATTAAAGTACAATGTAAACACATAGATTTATTTACGACTCTCGCCTGTTCCTAGAAAAGAACAGATCCAACCATGACACACGTTGCTAAAAATCACCATAATCGTAATGATAATGATCACCACCATTATTATTATTCTGTCATAGCGCAGTCAATGTGATGATAACAAAATTAATTAAGAGAGAATACCTTTTGAAACAACTGAAAAATTCACGAGAGCCAGCGTATATTGAAATGAGCCTACGAAAATTTTGAAAAGAAGATTACGTAGTGCTCGACTGGAAACTATTATATTAATGGGGAGTAACTTTCCAAAGAAATCATGGCGCTGCGTATGTGGTGGGCTTAACAGGATAATTTGGTTTTGACAAGAGATTTCATTTTCTCTTTTTGTCACTCTCTTTTGGACACTTAGCACCAGCAGGTAAGCTGCACAGATCTGGGGAAGAAATGCATAGACCATCGTCCCTGTCCCTGACAATAACCTTGCCGTTCGAGATTAATTCGTATTGCATTATCGCTTCAAGAAGACCCACAATTATACGAAGCAAGTATCAGTTAGAAAGCGTCAAAAAAGAACCTTGTCCTTGATATCATATAGTAACGCCCCTATACTCAATCTACATCAACTTACCAGGTGTAAATGTTACACTACCATTGACAAGAACACCAGTGGGAATGAAAGGCCAATGAGAAACTTTAAACGTCGGAGTCTTCTCATACTTTACTAAAAAGAATGCAACAATGAAGCTTGAGTTTCAATGCTATTTTGACGCGTCGAGAAATTCTGCACATAAATATATAATAGCCAAAAGTTTCTAAAACCTTGGACCACAGAGAAACAATAACAGTTTACAGTTCAGTCACCAGTTAGTAAACGGTTTATATGATTCTTATTTCTTCATACTTTTGGGCTTGGAGTGGAAGGTTTGTAGGTGGGATCACACGGGAGGGGATGGAGGATCAGTCGTCGCTAACAGCGTATAAAGGGGGGACTGTAGAAGATTGCCAATGAGAAGAGATAATAAGAATATTACAGAGCCTTGAAGGGAGATCAGGTTCACACTATCCAACCTCCAACAAGCAATAAATAATGACCTGTCTTTCAGTCCCCATCTTTCTAACGAATTTCCTGGCCCACGAAAAGCTTTGAAAAAGCAACATATAGAATATCACGATGGCCAGGCTCTTTACATTTTGT